AAATGTGATTTAAAAAGTACATTATTGCATCGTATGTAAGGGCTTGTTTTGTTGGTTTTTCTTTACTTGCAGTGTGTGGGAAATTGGTAATAGGTAAATTCAATATTACAGCCTCTAAAACCTAATATTATTGAAGGGTCCTTTTAAAGTTTAAATAGGATTTTTTAAAGTTATATTTTTAGATCATTAGACCAGATTAGACCTATTAAACGAGCCCCCAATACTGCACTGCCCATACCTACGCCTAGACTGGACCTGAGTATTATTTGTGGTTACATAACGTTTGCTATGCATATATCATGCGCTAGAAGTGGAAGACCATAAGGTATTGGGAATGTGCCTCTCTCTGGTATCAGTGTAAAAGTGTAAGGTATAGGATAGCGTGGATTTAAACATTTTCCTAATGATAATGTTCAAGGAAAGTAAGTATGATTGTTGGAAAAAACGGTTTTTTGATTTCTCACCCTGGCCTTCGCCTGGGCGAAGTGGGCGCAGGTTTGGATCCACATCTAGTTAGCATGAATTCTGTAAACCAGGACCCAGTAGTATTTTGTTACGTTTCTTCACAGAGAAGGGTTCGTCCGAACCCCCTAAATCCCTTTGGATCCGCCACAGGTTTGTGTGTCCACAACTTGGTGACATTTAAAAGTTCGGCAGAGAGCTCCAAACTGGAGTAAATTTGTTGTCGTCCTTCATCTATCCCCAATTAACTGGGTCCTGTTCAACTCTGAGGGCATCTAGACAGTTTTACCACTTCCTGGATTATAGTACAGATCGTTTGACATGTTTCTTTAATGCAGCTGATGTTGGGGGGTATTGCCTTTCCCCAGTTGTAACTAGGTATCACCTTGCATCATTTACCTTCTTACCATCAAATGTGCCGTAGTACATAGCAACAACCTAGTTCTAGTGTCTAGAACTAGGTTGTTGTCTCCTGTTCTAGTGTCTGTTTCACTAACATCTCCTACAGATTCTCTAGAATACTGGAATCATACTTGGCATCTTTTTCCAAGTTTCGTTAAATGACGGTTTACCTTACCTTGAACAGATGAAGTTGTATCACAACCGCTAAAGTAGTGAAAGGACAATTGTGAGCGGTTGATATCTGTGGTCCCAGAGAAGTAGCAATCGTGTTTATTGGAATTTACTATAAGTGCTTCCCCTCGAGCCAAAGTTCCTGGATGCCATGCAGGTATTCCGTGGAAAGCTGATAACTCAATAGCAGCAACATCACTGTCTACAGTCTTGACAAGAATGCGTGGAAAATTTTCAGCAGCATGTTTAACATGAACAAATATACGTTCATCTGCCTCTTTCATGTTACATAGCAATTGGTTGCAGATCTACATACTGGTTTGCTACAGCTCCGTCTCCCAGAGACTCTAAAAACAATCCGTGGTTTGTGTCAATGTTCTCAACTACTTCGTTTACAATTAATGGAAACACTCTGATTTGTTGTCATCACATCTCAGGAATGTAGACCAATTGTTGGGCATACTCCCGCTGGCTTTGATGACCATCCTCACACCAGAGCCGCGGTTCGAACGCGTACCAGACTTTAAACTGTCTTTAAAGTATGTGTGTAGTGTAAAAAAATTCGAGATCAATCGGACCTATTCGATGTCGAATATCGACTAATATTGTATATTTTTGGAAAATATTTCACTCGTTCCAAATCTCTATCCTCTTCTTCCTTCTTCCTTTATTCTTTCACAATTTGCATTTATTCATACTTTTTATTCATAATGTTATACAATACACACATAGGCTAGTCACTAGGTTTAGGCCTAGGCTATGCCTATTACTATATTATTTAAATATACAATTTTAATAGATAATATTAATTTAACATAGACATAGTAATTCATACACTATTTTTTTTTTGCTTTTAGACCAAGTGGTTGAGGAGTTATGATCACCATATGTTGTATAAAGGTCATTGACCTCTGAACCTGAATATTTGGTCAACGGAGTTACTAGAAGGTGGCAAAAATGTTTCAATAAATGTTGATCCCAAGAAAACCTAGGTGTAGCAACTATTTTTGTGCATGTAGGCGAACTGGTTGAGGAGTTATGACAATCATAGTTGTATAAAGGTCATTGACCTTTGACCCTGAATATTTGGTCAACGCTGAAAGGCAAAAATGTTCCCATAATTGTTGACCCCTAAAACCCAGGTGTAAATACTATTTTTGTGCTTTTAGAGCAAGTGGTTAAAGACTTATGACCCAGAACATGTTATATAAAGGTCATTGACACTTGACCCTGAATATCTGGTCAACGCAACTATAAAAAGGCGGCAAAAATTTTTACATAATTATTTACGTATAGACGTACAAGAATATACAAAAAGTCCTTTTATTAGAGTCTGTTTAAGGTTAAAACATATTTAGCCTCTACTATGGTACGAAACTCAAAAAATGATCCAAACCACGGTGATTTCACATTTAAAACTTAATTTGTTGATCTTTCAGTATTTTACCATATATATTATTAAATGCTTCAGGAAAAATAATAATTTTGACTAATTAACTAACAATTTATTATATTATTTACCAGTCATTTTTAGGGTCAATGCAAAAGAATACAGGAAGGATCATACTGTATTTAACTGTTCATTATTATTTACCAGTCAATTTAAAAGAATACAGGAAGGATCACACTGTATTTAACTGTTCATTATTATTTACCATTCAATTTAAGGGTCGATGCAAAAGAATACTGGAGGGATCAGACAGTAGTTAACTGTTCATTATCATAAGTATATTTAGGTACAATTAATATCGAAATGCACTGGGTTTGGTCTACAGGAGTTTGTGTTTCTCCATCAGGTGCTAAGTGTCTCGAGTTCCATAACTCAACATCGAATCTAGCAAAAGGGCTGTGGTAATATCCTCTGTTAATTGATGGAAGTCAGTGGGTATCATCTGGCTGGACTAATCACAGAATATCCATTCCTGCAAAACAATAAAATAAATAGATCTAAGCAACAATATATCAATTTTAATCACAAGATTATCAACAATTTCTGCAACATCAGTACTGTGTATGATAAAACTATATGAGATAAACTTGTAAAATAAAAACAATAGTCATTTTATATATAAGATATGTATATATATTTTTTTTTTAAATTCTGAATAATTTGTCCAATTATGTCCTAACCTAATTTTCATATAGGCATGACTCCTCATTATTTTATGATTACAAAAAGTGATATATTTCATTTTCATTTCATTTCATTTATTTCGCCTTTTTTTTATCATAACAATACAGTAAAATATTCAGAAAATTCAAAAAGGCAATCCATGTTTCCCCCAAGAGCCGGCAGGATTACCAAAAAGTAAAATTAATTACTGTCTGAGTGGCTCTCCAAGCAATGGGGGAAACATGGACTAGCAGTATAAATA